TTTTTTTTTTGACCAAAATATTCAAGTACTCTCTTCAGAACAGTTTTGATCGTACTCATCGTTCCGATGACCTACAATTCTGGTTCACCAAATACTCTTTAGAATATTAGTGACATAAATTTTTCGACCTTGAAGTCAAAAAACAATCTGAATTAGTTTTTAAGACGAATCGATTTGTTTCTCAAATTACTCTATAAGTATTCAGGCAAACTGATTACTGAATGAGTACAAACTTTTTGAGATCTTTAGCTACTCTTTCCTCCTTCTTTATATTCTCATAGAACTAATCCCAGCAGTCACTGAAATTCATAAAACGAAAAATTTTTGCTTTGCAGAACAAACTTCACAAAGCAGTTACAGAGTGATTTGTAAAAACCAACTATTTTTTTTAAAGAGATGACTTCTTATTTTCTGGTCTCAAGCTCATGTTATCCGTGATTAGAAGTAAAGAACGATTTCGGAGTGCCCAATAGCAAACCCCAAACTTCCAAAAAGCCTTGACCTAATGCAAGCAAAGCCGTTCTAAAAAGTGTATGTTATTTCGCCGAGGAAAAAACAAGCCACCAGCAAGGCAAAAATACAGCTGCACACAACACCAGAAACAGAAGGCAACAAGATGCTCTCCAACGCCTCATAAAACAAGCAGATCTAGTCTATCTCTTATCCCCTCCTCTCCAATTTCGTCGAATAGGCTTGAAAAGCTCAAAAAAAAAAAAAGAAGAAACAAAAGCCAATTCTTTTCAGAAACTGGCATAAACTCTTCTTTCGTTATTTCAAAATTAATAACGGCGTGTAGTAATGGGAATCATTCAGCGACTTCGACTCATACGCTACCGAACTTTTTATAAATCCAGAAACGACAAACCCTGCTGGTGCCAAATAATTGCAACCCTTTTGGCAATCCGCCAAGCGCGAGTTATCCGCCTGTCACGAGAACCCCACTGGAGGTTGCAGTTTCAGGCTGCAAGACCCGTCAGAAAAAAAAAAATAATAAAAGATACAGGTGACAACGAAGTGAGCAAAGCAGAAAATAGGTAGAAACATAGCTACTCAAACAGTCTTTCATTTCTCAAAGAACCTGAAGCGCCGCCTGCTAAACAAGAAAACAATATTCGAACAAGAAATCTTGCAACACTTTAATTGCTAATGTGATGTTAAAACCACCTTTACATTACATTTATTGACACTCCGCCTTTAATTTACACGAGAACTCCAACAGTTTGACACGAAAAAAAAATAAACTTCAGAGATTCTTAGCCAAATCTAGGAGCTCAACGTCAACAAAAACTAGTTGCAAGAAAGTTGGTTTATTCTTTGAAATTTCGGAATTCGGAAAGGCGGATACAAAAGTATTATTATCATAGTAATATACAACAACAAAAGTATAAATACATAGCAACTTGCAAAAACGACTAAGGAAACGTCAGTCCTTTGTTCAAAAGCTCATTCTCCAGAACTAAGTTCTTTTCGACTAACTCCGCTAAACTTCCCAATCTTTCGTTACAATTTTGTCGAAAAGAATGATAAATAAAATCACACAGAACTGTTTAAATCACTTTATGAAAGCAATGAGAACTAGACATAAATTAAGCGTACCAGCCTGGGTACACCGCAGAATACAAGTAATAAGTCACAAGCACAAAAAAGTACTTCACAGAACGGTCGGCACAGCATGATTTTAGGTATCTCAAAGATTAGAAAACCCAAGAGAGAAATGAGATTCAAGAATTCCTCATCCCGGGGCTGTAAGTAAGAATAACCAACGAAGTCTAACAGTTGCACTGTTTTCCTTCTTGCCCACCAGTATTAATAGTTCGAGGGAGATTTTGCTTCGGCTGCACACCGGTATCAGCTTGGTTAAGGTCCAAACTAAAAATGAAGCAAAAGACTGGACTGAAGTCAATTTTAATTTCATCCAACTTCTCCTTTTTCAAACATGCCACCAAACCATGTTTCCTCTTTCCTAATAATTTCTGGCTGAAAATTTAAAAAAAAAAAAAAAAAACACTGATAAAAACAACTCTAGTCAAGAACTCGATAAAAGAAGACACAAACGACTAAGAATTGTGAATTTCACACAAATCCTTTTTAGAACAGTACTTATCTCCTCGCCGTATTTCTTGTATTAATAACTCTTATACAGTGAATACCAATTACCTTCCAAGTGAACCACAAAGAACTTATTCCTTAAAAACAAAAACTATGAAGTTCCTGAGTTAATCTGATTGATAATTTAGTTTATATTTTGATTAATAGGCCAATGCAACAAAACCGACCTTCCGTCCTGTATATTCTGATATATTTTCCGTGCCGTTTCCAAAAATGCGTCTTCCACATTTTCGCCTCTAAACATATTTAGATGAAGCATCGACTTATTTGAATGATTTACAGGAAAAGCTCAGAAAAAATTTCTAAACTTTGATTATTTTTCCTACCAAAGAATATTGAAATGAAATTGTAAAAAAGCTGGCGAACATAAACCACAATGAAAAAATGAAGACAAACGTTTTGGCAGAACATTCAAGGAAAGTAAGCCCATTCTCATCAGCAAAAGCTTTGGCTTCTTCATACGTTACATCCCGCTGAGCCTCCAGATCACTCTTACTTCCAATCAAAAATATTACCTAAAAAAATGCCACATAACATTTTACAGCTATGAAAATTAGTAACATTAATTCCCAACAAGCAAGTACCGTATTTGGATTTGTTAGATTTCGAGCGTCAGTTAACCAGCTGCTTAGATGATTATAAGTAGACCTGCGTGTAATATCATACACCATTAAAGCACCCGCAGCCCCGCGGTAATACGACCGAGTGACTGCCCGAAATCTTAAACAGGACTTTTCAATCCATTACAAGAGGGGATTCATAAAAAGGTATTAAGACTCAAAAACTTGACAGCAAATTTTCTCAGCAGCACTTTGCCTGCTAATGTTTAAGATCAAATGTTCACAAAGCATCTTCTCGTCTCTAGGCTTAACATAATGTACAAATCCGAATTATTAACAGCCAAAGCAGTATTTAATAGAATAACTAGTAATACATTTACCAGAAGATCAATTTGAATGACAATTCACAAACCTCTCCTGACCCGCAGTATCCCAAATCTGCAGTTTGATTTTTTGGCCACTAACTTCTATTATTCGTGTTCCAAATTCTACGCCGATAGTATGCGGGCAGTCAGCCATGACTGGAAGATGAAATTTTAATAGCACGCAAAAAAAAGTACATATCATTTGGGAAAAAATTCTAAATGTATGAAAACTTCAAAAGAATGTGAAAATCGATTTTAAAAAATAGCTTCGATAATTATTTTATTTGAAACACTAGGGCCTAATAATACCCCTGAAAGAAACACGCACTAAACATATCGTTTCATGACTTTAACAATGGCAAGCAGCGGAAGGACCCAAACTCAAACAGAAAAAAAACTAGTTGTTTGCGGCAAAAAAGTTGTTTAATAAGAGCTAACGGAAAAATAGTAAAACATAATTCTGCAGAGAAACAAATTACGATTTCATCACTGTTTTCAGTATTACAGCCTAAAAAAAACTGCATTTAAAAGCCGTCACTGAAGAAATTTCTTGGTAACTTACACTTCTTTTCTGTAAATTGATGGAGTAAGCATGACTTTCCTACACCCATATCACCAATAATAATATATTTGAATATATAAGAATAGTTATATGGTCCTGCCGATGACATAACGGTCTACCGCACTTAACAATCTAAAATGCTAAATAAGCAGACAAAAAAAATAAAAATAAAAACCTGCAGCAATATCCTTCTGCGCACTGAATGACCAAACGTGCAAGGCAAATAACGATAAGCACCAGCAAGTAAATAACTATCCATGACTGGAAAAAGAACATCCAGAGATCCTCTAATTTTTTTCTAATCAGCCTTAACACCTTTAACAGATGCAAAATTTTCAATTTAAAAAAAAAGACGAATCTACAGGAATCTCATAACCACGTCGAGTACATGAAGAAAGCTTGAAGAACATGCAAATATGAGATCTGAGAAAATACATGCAAAATATGTAGAAACTGTAAAATAGTTTAAACTCGAGATAACTCTAAAATAACCTAGCTAACCCAAGTGGCTGAGGCCTCTAGTCTTTAATTAAAAATTTATTTTTATTGAATAAAACGAGCTGAGACGATAAAATTTTGATAGTAGCTGCAATTGATCTGCTCCCAAACGACTGGCAATAA